ATCTTAGAGAGATAGGATGGGATGGTATGGATTGCATAGATCTGACTCAGGATAGGGACCAGTGGAGGGCTCTTGTGAACATGGTGATGAACCTTCGGGTTCCATAAAATGCTGGGAAATTCTTGAGTAGCTGCAGAATTGGTTCTCCTCAAGAAGGGCTCAGCTCCATGAGTAAGTAAGTAAGTAAGTTCATACTGGTCCGTCGCACTAACAATTACAAAGACAATAATAACTCCGTCCAGCAAGCCACGAACAAACAGGGACTATACTAAGAATCTCCTGCACAAGATAGACAGGCGGCACAAGTTCAGCCCTCTCCAAGAAAGATGATAGGAGAAGTGACACGAACCTGCATGGTTTATAAAATTTTGACTTAAACAACAAAGTTTTAATACCAGGAAGGCTGCTGTGATTGTGAAAAGATGAATATTGTGTATACTGTGTATTCCAGGCATTGTGTATGTAATTTAGCACTCAGAACACCTATTGTGATAATGGTTTCCGAATAAGTATTGATGTTCCCTCTGAAGATGATCTGTAAGAATCGAAACATGTAAGGGTGCTGAGTTTTCAAGTGGTAAAACTTAAACTGTACGGAGTTGTTTTTGTCTTTGTCTTACAAACCTCATGATCTGAAACATGCTCATGTTTCCAAAATAATAAATTAACTGAACAAATATAATGAACCTTGAAAGTATGATATATATATATGTGTGTGTGTTCATAAGTTCATTGCTGAACACAATAATATGGCCAACATAATAAAATATCTGAAGCAATATAATGAACCTTGAAAATCTTAAATATGTAAATATTCACAAGTTCAATATTGATCACAATAATATGGCCAGCATAATAAAATATCTGAAGCAATATAATGAACCTTGAAAATCTTAAATATGTAAATGTTCACAAGTTCAATGTTGAACATAATAATATGGCAAAAATAAGTTTTGTGTTTTTTCTTCATATTTTTACCTTCAAATTGCATTATTGTGGGAAAAAGGTGAAAAATTACACACATCAGAAGGGTTACGTAAAATAGTATGTTTTATACCAACTGTGAACCAAAGTTTCTGTAGGAACACAACTCTTCTCACTAGAAAAACAGGATCTGTATCATGGAATTTCACAACATGGACAAATTTTCAAGAATCCATTCCTTCTGTAACTTGGGAGCATGCTCTATTGTTATTCATCTGGCAAGAATGATGAAAATTGCAACAAATTAGAGAGACCCTAAGTGAAGCTCAAATCAGATACTCCTTGAATACAAGTCTAAAGTAATACCAAATTCCTCATTTCTGTGCATGGGAAAGAACACAAAAGAAGCAAAACTGTTTTCAAATATCACAGTCTAAGAGGATTTTATATTCTCTTTTGTAGAATTTAAACAGATCTGCTTAGCAGTTTAGGATTTTACTTACACAAGTTGTGTTGGATTCCCTTCTCTTCTGGCAGAGTAAACACTGCCAGAAATAGACAGGTCAACCAGCCTGTGAGAAGTGGCAAATGAACTGGTTGGGCTAGTGGAAAGACAATGGGCCAAACTGCTATGCGCAACATCCCAATACTCGGAAAAGAACAGTAGAAGAAAGACACAACCTTGAAATATGAACACACATTTTAATAACACTGTTTTATTTCATTATCTTCTTCAGACACTTTTAGCATTTACATAAACATGTACATCTGTATGGCAAGAATCTGTACACAGTAATATTTTTAACACATATTACATAACAATATAAATTTTGTATGCATTGACATATATTGCAAGATGTAAGACTACTTGTGCTATAGAACTCTGATTGCTTGGTGCAGGAGTAACAACATGTTAAAAGTAAACATGACTATTTCTCTGGACATCTCCCAACACAGCCAGTGTTTCGTAACATGCATCTACATTCATTACCTGGTGTAAGGACTAGCTCCAATCACTGGACACAGAAAGAAGTTCTTAGCATCTGTTGACATCTATTGAAGAGTTAACTCCCTTATGCTTCGACAGATCACAAGATACACCGGAGAGTGTTCCAGTCAAGTAACAGTTTCAGGTTTTCTTTTTATTTCGCATGAAACACTATGAAGAACTTACTTTTTTAATAACATACAGTATCTCTGACACTAAATGTCAACAAAATGAAATATTACATAGCTTTGGTCACTAACTCTACAAAAGAAACTGATACATTTTAAACACTGCACCTCATAAAGTTTCTTATATGCTCAGTAGATCTCAATATGGGTACTATTACTGGCATGACACACTTCAAAGCAATATTCTGTTTCTCATGAGGCACGGGAAAGTATGTCGTTGACACCACATACATCCCCCACCCCCAAAAAAATGTAAGAGTAATGACCTGGACAAGAAGTGTCCCATGAAATTGTGCTCCAAGTTCCAATGCAATGATAGTGCACCACACTATGATGATGTAATGAGAAGTGGAGATATAGCTACATCATTCTTGACCTTGGAACTAGATGTAGATGAGCAGTCAGCTTCATAGTCCAGTTGCTTCACCTCCTGGGAAAGAGCTCCCAGTACGCATTGGATAGGAGGACGAGTGGGCCCCAGAGCCAGTCTGGATGCTGTGGGAGAGAAAAATCCCTGTCCCTGCTGGGAATCGAACCCAGGCCGTCCAGCCCACAGCCAACTGCTATAAGAACTGAGATATCTGCGCTCCCACCAGCCAGATTAGTTCTCCAAAAAAGAAAAGACTGATGTTGTTCTTCATCATAGCGCATCATACGTTAACATCCACATACATGAAACACTGCTTCATCAGAAAACAAATTTGCTGAGATAGGTCATGTCATGTTTGATATGGGAAACCAATTCTAAAGCAGACTGTTCTCTCAAATTCTGATCTGTGCATGTCGTCTTCCAGACCAAGTCAAGCCTGTAGGCATGAAATTTCAGACTTTCGTACAAAACACGATGCACAGATCAATATTCCAAGCCTAATCCTAAACGTGCTTGGTAAAGAGAATTGCAAGGGCTGCTCTGACATGTTTTGTGTATACATTTGGCATTGTCTTGGGTCACCATACAATGTAGGGGCCCATTCTGTTTCAAGGCACTATGTGCTCTTTCAGGTGCTTGTCTAAATGCATCACAGATGTGTATATCAGCATTACTTGATGTGGGTACATCTAATAATATGGGCACACAATTTAAAGTCTGCCAACTGAAGAATGCAATCCACTTTGTGTCACACAGACTACTTCTTCTCTTTAACTGAAGAAAGATGGGGCAGTATGGAGCTCCTATACATGCATATGCACACAGAAGATGACTTGATCAAGAAGGAAAATGACTTTGAGAATTACCAC